CTTTTGCCGCTGAGCTAAATCCCCAGCCCCTGTGTATGCCATTTAAAGGGAGACCAAAGGATATTGTGTACCTATATCTGTTATTATCTTCACCGGTCTTTTCATGTGCGCGTAAGCAGTTGACCAGGGTCTCAGCTAGAAAATTTCTTCCTTTTCCTTTCTTTTCTTTTTGTGGTGCTGGGGATTGAACTCAAGACCTCGTGCATGTTGAGCAAGCTCTCTACCATTGAGATATATCCCCAGCCCTGCACAATGACTGTTTTAAAGGATTCTCCTAGGTAAAACAATAAAACTTGGTGTCTTTTCTATCCCCATTTTAAAACTGTACTAAAACTGTTTTCCCTTGTGTTCCCTCATCCTTAATAAGGAAGGCAAATTGATATAGCAGCTTTTCTTTATTAAGAAACCAAATGCAAGTGCTTGATGATGTTTTATGGTATAAATCTTTAATATGCAAGCCAGGTGTGATGGCACACGCCTGTAATCCTAGCACTCAGGAGGCTGAGGCAGAAGGATTGCTGTGAGTTCCAAGCCAGTCTGGGCTATATAGTGAGTTCAAGGCCAGCCTACATTACATTTTGAGATCCTATCTCAAAAAAAAACACTCCCAAAAAACCCCTCAAATCTTTGCTATTCAGTTCCACACATAACTTTATTATGTACATTAAATTTTGAGTTTTTTATTTTGGAGGTGGTATTTTTCTTTTAATTTCTGTTGTTGATTTTTCTGTATGTGGACAATTGTAAAAGCTGTGGCAGTTTCTCAGAAAATTGTGAAAATAGTTCTAGATTCTGCCATTCTAGTTATAAAGTTGTTTTAGTATTTTTTGACTGTGATGCTGAAGTTTGTAAAAAACTATATTTAATCTGATTCCTTGAGTTCACTTATAATATTTTTCTTGATTTATATAATACCCATAGAATTTATTAAAGATTTTATATGAAATGTCATTTAAACATGAATTCAAAAATATAATACCCAGAGTCTTGATTTTTCCTCACATTGGACATGGTTATTTATGTTGAACATTGTTGTGTTATATTATGCTTATCTTAGCAATTATGCTAGTCACATTTCTAGTTTCCCTGTATCCTTGGGCCCTTAGAAAGTGTTGTGGTTTGGCTAGGTGTGGTGCATCTGTAATCACAGCACTTGGCAGGCTGAGGCAGGAGGACTGCTGTGAGTTTGAGGCCAGCCTGAGCTACAAAGTGAGCTCAAGGCCAGCCTGATCTGCATAGCAAGACCCTGCCTCTAAAAGACAAAAAAAAAAAAAAAAGAAAAAAAGTACTGTGATTTAATGCTACTACTCATTTGATATATCTAGTGTAATGATCACTCATTACTAAATTTTATTCACTGGATTTTCTCACCCTGTTACTATAGTGTCCTTTGAAAATTAAGGATAAAATTACACAGACTTAACACACTTTTTTCAGGGATTAAAAAAAAAAAGTGAAATTACAGAAAAGTTTCAGCTGTTAGAAGCCACAGAATAACTTTCTCAATATTTTATAGCACAAAAGCCAAAACCTGAAAATTTATCCCTTGCCGCTAATGTTAACCAACTTCTTTCATGGAGTGGTAAATTTTTTTATAGGCCATTTTAACTGAATTTGTAATTACATATGATAAATAAAATTGTTCAGTGGAATATAGAAATATGTGGGATTTTGTCCAAGATTACTTTATAAAGGAGTTCCTAAATTTATGAAATACATAAATGAAAGCAACTATTTTTTCCTAAGTATAACATTATAAAATAACCTTAGTTTTATAAGGAACAAAACCAGGACTGTCCTACTAATAAAAAAGAATTACAATTTCCCCGGTAAAACTTTCATGGATGCAGGGGGGCTAATGGAGTACAGGAGGGTTTCATGTATGTCTTAGCGTTTATGGAATTAAATTTTCTTTCTTTTTTTTTTTTTTTGCTACTGTTTGTGGACTTCTGTTAATTGTACCGCTTTCCTCACACGTGCCTCATTGACATTATGATGCATTCGTGTGGAAATTATGAAAAAGTTGTTTTCATGCAGCTGTCCTATCATCACAAAAGAACTTCACTGCATGAAAAGCAAACATATCATTCAGCAGACAATGCTTAATCTGTTCAGGAGCCAAACCTATTGCTGTTCAATGACAGGAGAAAGGAGAGGGATTAATTTGAAGATGCTTGTGCATGACATATGGTAATTTCTCCATAGGAAGGAAGTGTCAAATGGTGACCTCTAAATCTTAACATTGACCTCCAGTTGTAGAATGTGTGTGCCATACGGTCCTTTTACTTTTTCATATGATAATTTAAGCTGCAACATTTTCCTGACAACAAAACTTTTTTGGGAGGGTGGGGGTTGGTTTATCTATTCTATAGGAATTATAAAATTCACAGTAATTGTTTTTAGTATAGACAGCAGTTGTATCATGAACTATTGTTTACACTTCAGTAAATGAAAGTATAGTAAGATTCTTCTGACAAGAGTAAACATCATAATGTGGTTATATTCCTTACAGGTTGGTATATTTTAAATTGGTCTTTGTACAATGAGTATGGAAAATTGAAATGTTTTCATTGAATATTGGTTTGAGATACTTAAAAATAGTTTACACATAATGTTAGAGACTAAACTTATAAAAATAATCCACAATATGAAGACTTATTTGAACATTTTTGTTATGAGGTACATTTTAAAAATTGAATCACATTTTATTAATTTTTAATATGTTGCTTTTTAAAGGATAGCCTTCATTATTATAGAGCTATGTTTTGACATCATTCATCTATAATAGTGAATAAATTTTGACTTTAAAGGGAAGTTAAACTATACTACAGATGCTATTCAATAAAATACATCATTTCCCTACTGTAATCTTTAATAATCATCCCTTTTGATTAAAACATCATTTTTCAGTTCTACGTTCGCTATATTTTGCCAGTTTTGTTTTTCATTCTTCACTAATACTGAGCTTTTTTTCAGAAACTGCTGTACCTCAATTCTCTCCTCTTTATTTCTTCTATTTTCCTCTGCAAGTCGCTGCACCTGTTGTTTCCACTCGGTCTGACGCTGATCACTCTGGCTCTGACTCTGCTTCTACTCCTGCTTTACATACCTGTTTCTTAGTAAATGAAGGTATTCCCTCTCAACTTCCTAACAACTTTTCTTTCAATCTGTGCTTTATTCTAATAGACATGTTCTTTTTATCTGATTTATACATCCATCTGCTTTGTTATATTTGAGATCCTAAAGTTCCCACTTTGTAACTTTATTTGCTGATATCAGTGACAAGAGCCAAGAGCTAGTTACAAAAATGTGGCATTAGTCCTGGCTGCTCTAAACCAGAATGCCAGTATCATTTAAAATGCTACTAAAGGAATGCAAAGATGCTAGTCTTCCCTGTGAAGTAAAAATTGAGCAGTGAGTTGGTTTTCATAGCGTTATTTGCCATGTGCCAGAATTCATTTTACGTATAGAATTAGTCTGTGGCTAAAAAATACTAAAAAACACTGTTGTGTTTTTAGACAACTATCTACAGTACCCTGGTTAGAAGGGGAAATGAGGGAAGCTCCTAATTTACATTCTCATTTGAAGTCCTCCGATTGATTACAAGCTGATAAGAAGTCAGCTATCCTGTTACTATTTCTGCTTCAGGCTGAGGCAAAAATCCATTATATCAATCTTTAGATTTAGTTGGGCTACCATATTATTCCTGTGGAGTTAGGCAAGAGGAAACTAATTTTAAAGCTCTGAAAATGTAACTGGGATCTGCAAATCTTTGTTTCCCAAGACCCATCTACTAATATTTGTAACACCTGGAAACTTAATGGAACTTGTGAGCTCTGTATTACACTGTCCACACTGTGGTCTCCATCTTTGTTTGTATAATAAAAAAAGAGTAAAGTTACAGAATCTAAGCTATAACTCAGAATGATTCTGACTCTTCACTAAAAAGCAAAACTGTGAGTCCATATGAATGGAAGTAGTGATGAAATAGAGCCGTAGCAAATAGCACTCCTTTGGAAAGAAAATAGGGTAATTTAAAACTAGAATTTCATTTTGTGTTTGGTTTCCCTATCATAGAACTGTATTAAAATTTGTGAATTAGAACTGGATTTCAGCAAAAATAATTAGGGTCATATTTGTAAAGCTATTGAAAACAATAGGCATTTATTAATTTTGAAATAAACTTAGACTTTGGATGTTGGTGAGAATCATGATAAAAATAAGATTTACTACAAAATATTTTTATTAAACATTAAAATACTTTTAAGAAAACACAGAGTAGTAATATATGTATACCTACATACATATCCCAATGTTATAGTAAATTATAAACTAAAATGTGTGTACCTATTACTTTAATGTAATTATATATGCTATCAATTGATAAGAATTTCCTCAAAGGATGAATCTTTAAATAGGTGACTTATCTGTCTCTTTCAGTCTGTCTCTCTGTCTCCCTTTTTATCAATCCCAAAGATCATTTTTTTTCCTTTTTGAGACAAGGTCTTGCTATGCAGTTCAGGCTGGCCTTGAGCTCACTTTGTAGCCCAGGTTGATCTAAAACTTGCAACAATCCTCCTATCTCAGCCTCTCTAATGCTGGGATTATAGGTGTGCGCCACCATGCCTGGCTTCAAGTGATCATTTTAAGTTTTATGGTAGTGTTTTTGCATTGTTTTTGAAGACTACAGTTTAGATTATTTTAAAACATTGATTTGCTGAAATCCTGTGCTCATAGATAACTTACCTTGTAATATGGTAATGGGCTGTTTTTGTTTTTAATATTAATTCTTAAGTATTTTTCTTTAAATATTACTCTCAGGAGATGGTAATTTTGTGCATTAATAATGGACATACATAATTTGGGAAGAATGAGGCATTTAATGTATATATAGGGATATTTTTAGAAACCTTTAAAATAGTTAAAATGATTGAAAATGTCTGTATGCTGATACTTTCAGATATTGCATTGGTATACAGTATTTATCTTTGTCATATAATCAGGCTCCATATTTTGAATTAGAATTTGGAAAATGTAACTTTTATTCCTGTAAGACAGAGTTAATAATGCTTAAGACTGTAAACTTGGGGTTCTTAGGCTTTTATTTTGTGGAATATCTGAATTTATTTTTCCTTTTAAATTGGCATCTTGTTACTTATTTCAGTTATGACTGTGATTAAGTATCTAATTCGTTTTGTAAGAAGGATCATAACTACCCTAATTAAAGGCCCTTGACAGAGAAGAGAAGACATCTTGTTGCTGAGGCTAGGCTAGCACACAGATGGCCATGCCTTAGGTGACATACACTTATGGATATCTGTGTGAATGCCCTTTTAACTGACAACAGTTTTGCATCTATAGCTTTTATAATCTGTTTATTTTTATCCTCACCAGTTTCCTGTTATATATTTTATTTTAGAAAGAGTGTTCAGAAATGTGTTTTCCTTGTGAGTTAGCTTATACTTTGTGCGAATATCAGTTTTGGTTTTAAGATGTTGAGTTTTTATAGGTATCAAATACATGATATAGGGATGAAATAGATTTGGTATAGTTCTTTATATGGGATGTCTCATTTAATTAAAATATTTAAAACATAACTTAGTGGATCTACCTTGTTTCTGATCCATATACATGAAGAAAAACTTTTTCCTTAGGGAATAACAAAATGTTTACCGTGTTTGTGATATGTCACGTTTCAACAGGATGGAGTCAGTTAGCTGCCATGCACTGTGTTATGCTGCCGGACCTGCTGGGATTAGATAAATTTAGGCCTCCGCTTCTAGAGATGCTGGCTCGAAGATGGCAGGATCGATGCTTGGAGGTAATGTTGAGGTGATAAAGATAGTAACACAGGAATATTAAAAATACTTGATCAAATGTAAATTCGAAAGTAAATGGTTAATATTTATATTGTTTAACTTATTGCTGGTTGATCATGTAATAGGAAATATGGATTCTTAATTTTCCTTTTTTTCTTCCTTGGTTTATATACTAAACATTAATGTTTCAACTTAGTATTGTTTTAATTCAGTGACTGATAAAAAGTTCCACATAATTTGAAGAATTTTTTTTTATGTGTGGTAGTGGAGATTGAACCCAGGGAACACTCAAGCAGTTTCTTAGCCCCTCCTCTTCCTTTTTTAAAATTTTGAGACAGAGTGCCGCTGAGTTTTCCAGGCTGGCCTTCAGTGCACAGTCTCCTGAGTAGCTGGGCTTCCAGGCTTGCACCACCATGCCTGGCTAGAATTATTTAAGTATTGGTTTCTACATAAATGATACATACACATGCACAAGAAATGCATGTAACCTCTTTCCTCAAGATCGCATATTCAGTATATTCACATCCGTCAAATCCCAGGTGAATAGTTATAGTCCTGTGGAAAGTAATGAAATGAGCAAAATGAGAAGGTCTTTGGAATTAGAAGAAAAATGAGTCTGAATATCAATTCCAACAATTATTTACTTAATGATTTTGGACAGTTTACTTAGCCTATTTGAAACTCATTTGTAAAATGGGGATAATAATATAATCTTTGTGAGATTGCTGTTGAGTTCAAATAAAATAGCAAGTATAAGTCCTTATACATATTATTTGGGTTATAATATCACAGGAACTTACAAATGTTTTATAGACATTTTCCTCATTATAACATTTGAATTGCATGGCTTCAGTAGTTTTTGTTGTTCAGAAATTTAAATTTCCCATGTATAAATACAGTCACAAAGTACCTAACAAAGGGTTATGTTCTTAGAAAGGTGTCTGTCCCTGGGTGACTTTGCTGTGTGAACTTCATGCAGTGTGCTGATACAAAGATAACTACTGTGTCACTAGGGGATAATCTTTTGGGGCCACCATGTTATATGTGGCCTGTTGTTGACTGAAATGTTTTTATGCAGTGAATAACTAAAATATATTTATCTTTCCCGGCTCCCTTCCTCAACTACGAGTAAGACCGCAGCATACTAAAATTTTAATGTGTTTATATGGAATAATATTTTAATTTACTTCAAAAGTTGGTTATACTTACAAACAACCTCTTTACTCAAACTTGTATTCAGATATTGCATGAGTTATTCTTTCAATTATAAATGTAATAAATTTATCGTTATATCACTTAACTTTACTTTGACCTCATGCCTGTGAGACTTCTGCCAAAACAAAAGCTAAAATCTGTAAAATAAAATTGTGTGCAATATTGAAAAAAACTGATAAGATTTTGAAAAACAATTCCCTCTATGGGACTTAGAGAGTTTGTACTGTCACACAGGGTGATAGTTGCCTATTTTCTTCATGTCTTAGGTATGCACGAATCATATAGGTCTATACATACTTGTATAAACAGTACCTATTTAGCATATATAGTACCATATCATATAAGAAAATTTTCTGAATAAAGTGAGATTTGTACAGGCTGAGAGAAAACAAACTTAATACTTCTAACAATGGTTTAACAGTAATATTTATATGGAAATTTAAAAATTGAAAATTCTTATTAAAATGCAAGAATGCTTTGGAAAATGAAGTTTTAAACTCAAAGCTGATTAAATGGATAATTTTTTTTTACCTTAGAGTTAAAATATTTCAGAGTGAATTCGTTCACTGAGATGTCTGGTCTTGTGTGAGATGAAAGTGCTAGCATCCAATATATTCAACTTTAAGAACTTAATTCATTATTCATTATTTGGTTTTATTGTGTAAATAAATATGATTTCTGCTTTCTAGCTTTATTTCCATATGAGCTTTGTAATTTATAGACACTCATTTCCCTAACTCACTTGCTTTCTTTTGTTGCATTTGTTTCTATGACCTTCACAGGTAAGGGAAGCTGCACAAGCTCTGCTTCTGGCAGAGCTGAGAAGAATTGAGCAAGTGGGGCGAAAGGAAGCCATTGATGCCTGGGCTCCGTATTTACCTCAGTATATGGACCATGTCATATCACGTAAGCATTCTCATGCTTTCTAAAAAGCTTTGCAGACATGTGTAGAAAGAGTGTTAAACTCACAAATATGCATGCTACTCTCGTGTATATTACGTACCCATCAACAAAAGTAAGTCCTGTACTTTAAAGTGAAAAGAAGTTATCTTTAACTTGTGTTCCCTCCTTTTTAATTCTGTAGCAAATGATAAAGAGTTTGGTAATTTAAGAAACAATGGCAGTACTGAACCTATTATCAAAATATTCACTAATGAACTGACCTCTTACAAAATTAATTCTCAGTAAAAAATCCTGCTCTATTTGACACTAGAAACTTTCTCTGCCCATTGTATTATTGTGCTTCTGGTTGCCAGTTGGTCCCTTTTGATGTGGTGATACGAAGTTCAAATACATGACAATAGCCCTTGCAAGTTGAGGTTAGAATTATGAACCCGTAAAAAGTAAAGATGTTAGAGTTAAATGAGTGCACTATGGAAAAAAGAGAAAAATAGCAAAGATTTTGAGTGGCAGGTCTTTCAAAAGAGTATAAGCCAGCCCAGGCATGGGAGGGTGTGTCTATGCGGTACTAGAGCAGAAAGATTGCTGTGAGTTCAGGCCAGCCAGGACAACAGAGCCAGACCCTGTCTCAGAAACAAAAACCAAATGATCAAAAGAGTATTTGAAGGATTGGGGAAATTGTTGGGTGTTTTTAGATATATTTTGCAAAATAAAACCTTTGTAATCATGATGCTAGGTCATATGAACGTTAGAGAAAAGATACATTTGCTATTGTAATATTTTTCCCCTCAGAAAAATTATCCTAAACCCAAATTTGTAATATCATTTGACCCCTTCTTTATTCTAAAAACTGTTTAGAATTTTATTCTGAATGATAATGACTATAGGATACATTATTTAAAATTTCTAAGATAAAGCCTTAATGAAACTTTCATAAACCATTGTACCATTCATTTTTAAATGATCTTTTGCCAATGTCAGTTATTGTTTTTGGTAATAAATAGTTACCCGTTTGTCATATTTCTTACATATGTCAGGTAGTATGTGATTATTCAAGAAGGAAAAAACCCCCAAATCCTAAAAAAGCTATAAATGTTATTATACTGGTGTATCTACCAGTGTTTGCCAGTAGTGAGTATAGTGGGTGTTTAATTAGTCATGTGACCTTGGACACTTTAGCCTCAATATTGTCACAGCTAAAAACTAGGATTATAGTAGGACTTCATAGGATTATGATGAATATAGAATGAGTTAATCTTTAAGTGTATGGAATAGTACCTAACTCACAGTAAATGCAAGTACATTTTTCATATACAACCAAAACACCAAGCAATAACAACTGCAGTTTAAATTTGTATTTATTTGAGCACCAGAATATTTACAGTAAATATTGACTTTTATTTGCTTACTAGGAATTTTCCTATTCTGATAAAAGGAAATTAAGTTTAAAAGCTAGAACCTCTAGACATATGGACTCTATGTAAAATATTCAACCTAAAATTCATTTAGAATGTGTAGATATAAAAAAATAAATTTTTAAGAATATAAAGATGTTAAAAAAATAAGATTGGGATGGTAAAGCTCTGCTTTTGCATATTTGAAGAGTCTGGAACACATTCTGTGTTCATAACTTGTGGGTATTACTTGATGATACTTCAAAAAAATAGAATTTGGCTGATCAACTTATGATTCATTATTGAATCAAAGACCCCACAATTTAATGAGCAATGATGGGTGTAATACTGTAGAGTTGCTTGAAGGTGAAACTACACAACAACAAATACTAAACGTTCTTTTAAAAGGAGAATATAGTTATGGAAATATTCAGAAACATTTTAAGGATGTTTAAAATGGACTAATGTAAAATAGGGGAATGAATTAAAGTAGAATAAGTAGCTAGGAGTCTATTAAAGAAGGGGATATGGAATCCAGACCTTAATATAGAGAAGGTACAATAAAAGATAATTTCTAAGCCTTGATTACTGAAAATTACATATAAAAGCCCAAGAAAAAACATCAAAGATCAATATAGTGTTATATTTCTGATGGTTTGGGAAGAAAGGTATTATTAGCAATTGCAGTGGATGCCATTTTGTTTGTTTTGTTACTGAATCAGCTGCCACATAAAGGTATAGCACAACCACAGATACTCCCTGAAGCAATGATTGAAATGCATATGTTGCTAGGGGAGAGGTCTGTTGCTGGTTCCAGAGAGGATAAAATAGAAGTGAAATAATGAAAATACATACCATGATTTAGACACTTTCTCTTTGTCAGACTTTTGCTAAGTACTTAGTCTGTGTTATTTCATTTCACATTGCAGGAAGCTAGTAAAGTAGGTACTGTTATCTTTGCCAGAACCCCTACCCCTATTTTGTTTTCTTTCACATGAGTTAACTGAGATCAGGAGAGATTAAAGTATTTTCTGAAGCTCCCTCAGATACTTAAGGGATTGTCAGACTCTAAAACTCATTCTCTTACCCAGTATTTATTTTCATCCAGCTTGCTGCAGCATCGTTAGATCTTAAAGGGGGGTACAGAAGAATAAATAGATATTAGGTTTAACTAGTACTGCTTTCAGATGATGTCATTATCAGTCATATTATGTTCAAAAACAGCAAAAAGTGGAGCAGAAGGATAACTATTACAAAATTACTCTTTGATAGCTCCCGTCATTGTTTTAAAAAGCATATACTAATTTTAAAGCTTTGCATTTATAAAATTAGATTCTAGTTAATTATGGTATTCTTGAGTACTTCATAAATAAACTGAATGTTAACTTAAAATTTTACTCTTGTCACTTACTGTAACTGGCTTTTTGGTGAAAGAATAAACAAACGCATTCTATGTGTGACTAAAACATCATGCAGTAACAATTTTTGATGTAATACGTTAATTGATTCTGGAACTTTTACACTGACTGAGTGTAAAATTAGTTTTACCTCGCTTTCCTGGGAGCTTTCTATTTTAATAAAAGGATGTCATGCTAAAGGAATAGAAATTCCAAACATATTAAAGGAGAAGAAAGCATACAACAAATGAGGAATGACCACATAGGGCTGTTGAACAGATTTGCTGTCTGAAGGGATCAAAAGGTTATGGAGCCAGCTGGTGGACAGCCCACACCTGCCATACACGTGCTTGTAGTGAAATTGCCTCTACCATTGTCACTGATATTTGAAGAGATGATCATGATAGCAAGTTAAATCGTAAGACATTGTTTTAGAAACTTACAGCCTGTTTCTAGCTTAGGAATCTTAATCACTAACATAGGCAAAATATTAAACAATATATCTGGTAAATATACCACTTATTCTAAGCATTTAAAAATATGCAATAACTAAGCAATATTGGCAGCAACTAACTTGTGACTGAGCTTTGTGTAAGAGTCCCTTTATTAGATACTTATCCAAACTCATAAAATGCTCTTACCTAAAGAGCAGAATGCCATCCTAGACTCTGGCACTGTGGTAGCACTTTATCTTTGAGATGTGGGGTCAGAGGTTTAAATGAATGGTAACTTTCTCTGAATTCACAGCCAGTAAGTGATTGATCTGGGACTGAAAGGACAACTCAAGTCAACTGGCCATATTGATGGAATGCTCTGTATTTTATTTAGGTACATTATGCAGTAAATAGCCTTTTGCAGGTTTGTCTGAGAGCTAAGGAATATAATGGGCCAGGACTAGTTCCGCTTCTCAGCACTCTTGAGAGAGTTATATAGACACTTTCTGCAGAGCATTCAGCGCAGTGCCTAATACAAGTAGTGAACCTTGGCTGCTATCTCCTTTCTCTACCAGTATTGCTTTCGGGATTTTTTTCCTTATTGCCACTGTCTCAGAATTTGCTTTAATTTATATTGCCCAGGGATTTGACAATAGAATAGAGATCACTGTGGGAAGAAAAAGGAGCCATAGAGTGCCTTAACTGCAAAGCTACAGGTTTTCATAAGAATCAAGTTCTCAATTATTGAGTTATATGAGAATTTGGCTTCAGGTAACGGAGTGCCATTCTTGAATCAGTCAGGAATTATTCTCTTATCTTTGAAAATGTTAGGAATGTTTTATGTCTAATTTTTGATAGAAAATTAAAGGATTTTCTTAAACATTGTGATCCTATTTCAGTGGTAACAACACTCAAAGTATAAATACTGCATTCTTTAGTACTGACTTACAAAGATATTGTAAGTCTTTTTAAGCCTTCGTTTTGTAGTTCTTTATGTGATCATTTTTATATCCCCCAAACACTTAAAGAATTCTAATTATTTTTGCTAAATAGGGATTAATGTGATTTTTGTGAAACTATTGAGGGTTTGGATGAAGATGAATGTTACGGATTTCTGAGATTTCTTTCAAAGTGAAGATTTTTTACAGAACTCACTTTATATATTTCTTGTTTGTGACATTCTACATGTACATTTTGATAATTGACTTTTTTATGAGGTCAAGCACCTGCTAGTTTATGAAATATACCCACACTTGCCCTTCATTCCAGGCGGTGACTTCTCTGAGGTAAATGCTGATGGTTCCCGATTTCCTTTGCCCTGTGATGCAGAGTGACCTTATAGGGCATGAGGTCACAAGTGTAATTATTTCTCCTACATTGTATTCTGCTCACTCACAGTGGTTCATCTCCTCTTTTAGTTTCAGAAACGTTAAACATATAAAAGTCACTACTGTTATATAAATCAAAATCTCTCCTAAAGAGAGTGCCCTTGTAATTTTATGCAGTTATGTCCAATGTGGTATTAATTTGCAAATTTATCATCTCAGATATTGATAGAAGGATGTGTAACACATCGTGTTTAATACGTATTGATGTCATCAGAAAGCACAATCCTTTGTTCTTATCGGGTCCCTGCCTTTTTAGCTTCCTTTTGTGTTAAGGTTACCAGGGTTAGGCTCGTCTTTTTATCCCCCTTGGAAACAGAATAGGATTTCTTTGTTCAATGAAAGACACTCCTAGTAAATGTTTTGGGTTTGACTTTCAACAAGCCACACTGTAGT